GGGCCTATATGGCCCCAACTTGGCCTTGGACACACCAGCGATAAGATGTGGCACGGGCCGCGTCACATCCCTAGAGGCTCCCAGGAGCCCCTCCACCAGCACTTTGAAGATGCGGCACGGCCGTGCCGCATCTTCAAAGGGCTCCCAACACCGCGCCAATATGCGTCAAGATGACCCAAGATGACCCAGCACGGCCCCAAGCTGACCTTAGCCACACTCGGGGAAATCTTTGGCACGGCCGTGCCACTCCCCAAGAGGCTCCCAATACCCCCCTCCAGGGGCCGCTTGACGATGTGGCGCGGCCATGCCATATCCCAGAGGGCTCCCCAAACCCGCCCCAATATGCGTCAAGACGACCCTAGATGGCCCAATCTGGCCCCAATCTGACCCCTGACACACCCAAGATATGATGTGGTACGGCCGTGCAACATCCCAAGAGGCCCCCAGCACCCCCCCCCCCTCCTTTTTTAAAAGAAAAACTCCATCAGCTTTTTTTTTTTGTTTGAAGATGCGGCGCGGCCGTGCCACGCCCAAGAAGGCTCACCAACCGCTCCGAGATGCGTCAAGATGACCAAAGATGCCCTGGGAGATTTCAGGCATCGGACTCCAGGTGCCTTGGGCGCCCTCCCATGATTCTCAGCGGCGGCGCGCCTGTGGCATCAGACTTAAGATGCCCAGTGCGTTGCCCCGACACTCTCGGGAGACGGTCTGGGCATCTGAAGCCTGATGGCCTGGGAGCCTTTCAGGACATCGGGTTCAATATGCCGAACGCGCCCTGCCATTACTTCGAGCATGGGAAGAATTCTCCGAAGACCCCCGCGCCCTGCTCCGTAATCAACTGAATGCGCAACGCCGCCTTGGACACATGCAACCCGATGCCCTGGGGGGCTTAAGACATCGGGCTTGAGATGCCGCAGGCGTTCTTACCATTGTTTCTTGTGGCATGCGCTCGGGGCATCGAACTTTCGTTTCCCGAAGCCCCCCCCCCCCCCCTCCCGATGGCATTGTGGGCCGCCCTGACCATCCCGAGGCCGATGCAACGGTAGCTCACGGCAAAAGAGTTCGGCTGCCGAGCGCGACTGAGAGCGCATATATGCCGAAGTGCGTTAGGCGGCGGCGGCGGCAACTCTGCGCGCGAAGCGCGCTACACGGTTTTACAACGTCTACATATCGGCGCGCGATGCGCGCTACACTTTTTGCAACGTTTGCACCTCGGCGCGCGAAGCGCGCTGCGGGTTGAGATCATGAGCAACTCTGCGCGCGGAGCGCGCTAAACGGTTTACAACGTTTAGATCCTGGCGCGCGAAGCGCGCCAAACGGTTTGCAATGTTCCCAACTCGGAGCGCGGAGCACATTGAACGCCAGACTCAATGTGGCCCCCAGAACGGGGGGGGGTCGGGCACGGTCCTGACGCGGCCCCATGCGCACGGCCGTCCGCCACGCAGGGGGTGCATCGCTTCGCACCTCGCGTCGGGCAGGTACTTGGCAATCCCAACCATGGCGCTCGTCGGCCACTCGCCATGGCGGCTCGCGCGAGCAGGCGCCGTGCCCCGCACAGCGCGCGGCAGCAAAGAGAGCCCCTGCAGAATGAAGCAGCGGCGCGGCCGCGCGGCAAGCGCAGGCGCGCCTCGCGGCGCCCGAAAGCGGCGGGGTGTATTCGCCGCCGCGCACCGCGGCGAGGCGTCCTGGTACCCAGCAAGCGACGCTCGAGGTGGCTTAGAGGACGCGGCGAGTGCCGCCGTGCCACGCAAGAGGTTCCCCTGGGGCCGCGCCGAGACGCATAGACGGCAACCAAATTGTCTGCGAAGCGTCTTAGTCTGGGGGAGGGCGCCCCGCTCGCCTTCCTAATGAAGTCAAGGCCGACAGGGGCTGCGGCGTAGAGCGCGGCGCCGACGACCCCCCGCCAGGAAAGTCGCAGTCGCGGGGCCGCGAAGCTTTTCGTAGTGCCCTGTAGATGGTGAGTGTGTATGGCGTAGTTTCCTGTAGGTTGTGAGTGTGTATGGCGTAGTTTTCTGTAGATTGTGAGTGTGTATTGCGTAGTGGTGCACCGTGTGCCCATGGTGAGCTCGTAGTGGTCCCAGGTCCGCTCCTAGTGGTATCCTAGTGATCACCTGGTTTTTCTAGTCGCGGTCTAGTCGCGGTCTAGTCGCGGTCTAGTCGCGGTCTAGTCGTGGTCTAGTCGTGGTCTAGTCGCGGTCTAGTCGTGGTCTAGTCGTGGTCTAGTCGCGGTCTAGTCGTGGTCTAGTCGCGGTTGTGCAGATGTTTCAAGAAAGTGTAAATTTTCTAGTCGTGGTCTAGTCGCGGTCTAGTCGTGGTCTAGTCGTGGTCTAGTCATGGTCTAGTCGTGGCCTAGTCGTGGTCTAGTCGCGGTCTAGTCGCGGTCTAGTCGCGGTCTAGTCGCGGTCTAGTGTATGTTGAAGAGTTCAGCCGAAGGCTGTAGTGGTGGTGAGGTAGCCTACGTGCCATGCGTAGACATCCCGCGAGGCGCCTGCGTGCCGACGCAGACATCCCGTGGGCGCCTACGTGGCATGCGTAGACATCCCGCGGGCGCCACCCCCGTCTCGTGGCGCAGCTCAGAGCGCCGCGGCCGCTGTCTAGCGTCGACCAGCGAGGCGCCCCGCGGGTTCTAGCGTTGCCGCGACGCGCCCAGAACGACCGCCTAGTGGTGACCCTCGCGCCGCGCCCAGGACCCTTGTGGTTCACGGAGCGACGCCGCAGTCTTCTTTGCCCAGGAGGGACATCGCCCGGAGTCGGGTAGTGCCACAGGACGCGCCACCTGTGTCGCCGTGCCAAATGGCACGAAGCCCGCGGCCGCGCCCTAGAGCACGGCGGGGCGCCCATGGACATGCTACACACAGTGCGGCAGCATGGAGCGCCGTGTACAGAGCCGCGGCGCGATGTCTTCGCGGTAGCCACGTTCGCGATACCACGTCTGTAGGAGAGATCATGGCGCCGCGGGCAATGCGCAAAGTCGGCGGGGGAACAATATTTCGCTCGCGGGCACCACGTCGGTGCGCCAGAGATACGCGCGGCGAGAATTCATGCACAGCGCAGGCCTTGAGACAAAGCCCGAATGCATATGCCCAAGACTGTACTACCGCCGCAGCCTCTTACCGAGGCCCTCCGCCGTCGGCCCAATTCCCAACGGTGCAGGCCAGAATGTTCCAGCGACGTCAAAATCATATCTTCACTACGCCCTAACTATGCGTTAGCGGCATCGCATTACCCTCTGCAGCATGGTGCATACGTTCGCGTTGAGCATAGAACCATCGCGCGTGGTGTGCCAGGCATCTGTCTTTACATTGCCCATATCGTGCCACCGTCGCGCTTTTCGCGGATAGCCTCAAAGGGGTCGCTATGTGCATTTAAGCTGCCGCGCGCATAATGTAAGCGCGCGGCAAACGCGCTTTTTTTCCAAACAAAAATATTGGTGGGGCCCCGATGCCCCCATGCAAGTCTCGCAGGTCTCGCAGGTTACGCGCGGCCCTGTGCCCCCGCGAGCAGCGCGTGCCTCGCGACGCTGGCACCCCGCGAAGGCGCGGACATACTGCGACCCCAAACGGCCCGCGCATATACTGAACCCGAATGGGGGGGGAGAGGAGGGGAGGGGGGGGGGCAGAAGATGCGAGGTCGGCGCGGAAACTTGCTTCGCTGGCGGACAATGCAACGGTGCGTCAGGGATTCGCGCGCCGAGGGTGCATGGACAACTTCGCATGGTTCCTAAGCCCTACGCCCGAAGCCCTAAGCCTAAAAACTGCGCCTGTACAATGTCTAACCCTAAGCCCGCGGCCGCGCCCCCTCGGCCCAATGCCAGACGCGGCAGATCAGAAGTGCCCCTGAGCTGTAAACGCGAACAGGTATCACACCAAACAAACCCCGCAGCATTGTAAGTAGTACCCTGGATACGAACATCAAGTCCCACATCACAAACAAATCCTGCACCACCTGTAAGCCGCATCTAATAAACAAAGCATGATGTGTGTCAAGCATGACGTGTGTATGTCAATCTAGACGTGTATGACTGTGTATGTCAAGCATGACGTGTATGTCAAGCATGACGTTGCACGATCAATAGAAGCGTTGGTTCTCTCTCACTCGGTGTATGAGAAAACAAATCAATTTCTCACAGGGGGTTGCATTGCAACGATTGCAACTCATTGCAATCATTGCGAAGGAAATCTCATTGGAAAACCCCATTTGTTTTCTTAGCTGTTCCGTGGTTTCCTAAGCTTTTTCAATGCAGTACAATACAGTACAGTACAATACAATGCACATTTTCACAATGCAATGCGATGCAATACAAGACAGAACAGTACAATACAATTCACTTTCGAAATACAATACAATACAGTATATTACAATACAGTACAGTACAATACGATACAGTACACTACAATACAGTACAATACAAAGTATACAATGCCATACAACTCAGTTCCAAAACACAATACAATACACCACATTACAACGCAGTATATCACAAAACTATACAATACATTTTCACAACGCAATACAGTACAGTACAATACAATACAGACAATTCATTTTTACAATGCAATGCAACACGGAACAATACAGTACAGTACACTACACTAAAATATCATACAATGCAAATGCAGTACGAATATAATACAATACATTACAGCACAGTGCAGTACAGTAGATTAGAATACAGTACAATGCAATGCAATGCACTGCAATGCAATGCACGATCAATTGCATCATGGCCGTGCAACGCGAAGCGTAGGCATGGCCGCGTGCATGTCCACGTCTTGATAATAGAAACCGCGCGCTCCTGCTACGCGCCCTAAGCTGAGAGCATAGAAGACCCACGACGGCCCAACCCATGAACGCCCAAGATGGCCTAACCCAAGACGGCCCAACCCATGACGGCTCAACTCCAGACGGCCCAACCCCAAACGGCCCAACCCAAGACGCCCCAAGACGGCCTAACCCCAGATGCCTCGTCGGTGACTTTGCAATGTGATGGATGTGTTTTTTTCGCTCGCTGCGCTTGCCCGCAGGGCTGGCCGCCGTCTTAAGAAGCAGCGCTGTCACATAAGGAGGCCCAACTCCGGACGTCTCTCGCAAGTGCGACGGCCGACGGCCGCTCCAAAACGGCAGAACTCACAGACTCAGAAGATGCTACCAAGATACCGTGATGTCTGGGCACCACAAGAGACTGCAATGCACTCCCCGTTAGGAGAAAATCCATTCTAGGCCTCAATCCGAGACCGATTCGCGGTTGTCGATCTCGTTCTCAACATCGCGAACCTTCTGGAAGTTGGCCTCTCCGACCACGCCGTCCCTGTTGATCGTGGCCTCGGCCAATTTTTTGAGGTTGTTCAAAGCCGTGCGCATCAAGCACATGCGATGCTCTGTCATTGTGCAGCGGAGCTTGTACAAGTGTGCCACCTTGAATAGCTTCACCATGCGGCGCTTGAGCACGGGGTCAGCCTCTTTCTTCACGTAGTTCGGGAGCTTCAGCGTTGCCACTCGCATCTTGGGCGGCATGGGGCTTGAGTGAGATGCGAGAGATCGAATGGGTTGCCCTCGCGGGGCGCTCGTCTGGATGCCCCGAAGTGTCGCGAGCTTGAGACACAAACAGCCTACGGAGGGACAGTGCGTTGTTGCCATGGTTCTTTTGTTGTCTTGGTTTCTTGTGCGCCCTTGTTTGCACCAAGCCCCGACTTGCGACGTATGTACTGGCAGCGTTGTGTTGACCGTTATGGTGCAATTATGTGTTTGCGTGCTGTCTTACGTAGTGCACAGGGGCCCTGTTGGGATCGTCAGATAGCTCCAAGAATGCCTCGGCCTCTGGATGGTCCCGAGATTGCTCTAAGAGGGCCCCAAGATAAGGGCTCCAAGAGGGCCCAATCCCATGATGGCTCCTAGAGAACCCAGAGGGTGTCCCAAGAGAGCCCAGGGGACGATATTACTCGGGGTCTCGAGCTATACACGCCTCTGGAGTCCAGATGGGTTCTGCAGAGAGCTCCCTGAGGGACCCGAGTGTGTCCCGAGACGGCTCCAATCTGCCCCCCAAGAGGGCTCCAAGAGAGACCCCAGGTGGCTCCAAGAAGCCCTTCATGGGTGTCCCAAGAAGGCAAAGTGCGGAACCTCGAATTATAGATACGCTTTTAAGGTCCACGCGGGCCCCCCCCCCCACTTAGCTCCAAGAGGGCCTCCAGAGGGCATGCAGTGATATTCAGAGCCCGCCCTATCTCGACATGCTATTCAGGTTCGAAGTTGAACCCAAACAGTGCTTTGCATGCACCACCGCGGCACAGCGAGAAAGTGTTCTAGCGCCCTGCACAAATCCAAACAGTGCTTTGCACGCAGCCAAACATTGCTTTGCACGCATCCAAACAGTGATTTGCACGAGCCCAAACAATGCTTTGCACGCAGCACAGCACAGATGACTGAGGAAAAATATAAGTGCAAGGACAGCGAAATCAAATATCGGTCAAGGTCAGTACTGGCATGCCAGGCTACTAGGCGTAGCCCAAAGCTTCAGCTGCTGCTTTCAACTCGTGCAATTTGGGTCTAAATGCCCTGTGGCCCGCTGCGTCGCAATCAGGAGCCGCCCTGAGCCAAGCGGCCAAGAACACCTCTGCTGAGTTCACACCGTACCCGCCCACAACTAATTTCACCGAGCGGTATCTGCCACAAGTTGGTCCATGAGCGGGGTTAGAACAGTGAACCCTCAAGCCCATGGACCCTTTCGCCGCGTGCTCCTCAAAGATACACCTCTGGCCCAAAATATCCTCAGGCCAAACAGGCCCTTCGACGTCTGCCTCGTCGCTGCTGTCGGCTGCGGCTCCAGAACCAGACCTGCTCTCAGAAGAACTGGATGAAGATGAGGATGAAGAAGAAGAACCAGACCCCGAAGCAGGCTCATGACCAGCTTCCGACGCTGGCTCAACACTAGGATCTGGGACAGCCGCTTGGGGCACAACCACAGCATCGGTCTTCTGCACAGGCTCGGGATCCTTCGGCATAGGTGATGGGTGAGGCCCAGGCTCAGGTACTGCATGAGGCTCAAGCTTTGTCTTGGCAGGCTTTGAGGCTGCATGAGGCTCAGGCTTCTTCGGAGCAGGCGCAACCTTCTTCGGATCGCTTGGCTCTGCTTGTGCTCCACAAAACTCGTCATCAGACCGCTCCCCCCCCTCCAGCGACGGTTTGGCAAGGGCCATCAAAACATTGGGAACCTTCGCCTTCTTGGCTGTTAACAGGGCCACGTCGTCATTCACCAGATCAGCGGCCGAACGTTTGCTTTTCAAAGCCTTGAGCAACTCACGGTACTGGGCAGCTGCGCAGCCAGGGATCGCCCTGCCAGGGGCCACCAGCAGCAAGTCAAAGAACGCTTGGACCTATACAAAAGAATTTGAAAGAGCGCCCGTTGCAGCGTGCCCCCAAAACAGCTTGACATGTCGAGTCTCCCCCCACCACCCTGGGCTCTTTTTGCACTCGGGACCTGCCCCTCTCAATGGGCACTGGTTTTACAAACTTGTTTTGCGCCTTTGCTGCCCAGGGCCCTAAGCCGATGAGGAGGAGGGGTAGGATATGGGGGGGCAGATTGCAGGCGAGGGGGGCGTCAGGGAGCTCGGGGGCTGGGATGGGCAGAACGAGCCAAGAGGGATACTCGGAGGCTGAAGGTGGGGGCCCTGAGGCGCTAACACGGAGGGATTGGCTGGAATGGCTTAGTAGCGGGCTGGGTAGGGCGATACAGACTTGTCAAAGTTACACGGCCATTCGGGGAGGCACACTCGATGTCGAGCCTGTCTGGGGGGCGGCAGCGCGACAGCGCGAGCGTTCGTTTCAGATCTGTCCGCTTTCGTGCCTGAGTCGAGCTGAAGGGCCTCGCGCCGTCGGCGAACAGCTGGGGGAGGCATCGCAGGCACTGGTAGTACCGCCTCTTGCTGGCAGGTTCCCTGGAATCGAAAACCTTCGCGACGCAGTCGGCCGTGTGGTGCACGGTGCGCCTGGCAGATGTCCATCCATCATTCTGGAGCGACCGCATCAACAACAAGACTGGGGCGTTGCTACTCGTCAACTCCACCGCCGACTGCAAAACCTTCCGCTCTGTCAGGCCCACGCAGCCAGGTACTTCAGCATCGGCCAAGGAGTACGTAAAAATCCTATCGGTGGCTCCCAAATCTGACCCAGTGATTGCCAACAAATCGATTGCCGTGGGATCCTCCAACGCAAAAACGTTCCAGGTCTTATCGTTGTTCGCCGCGTCCGACACCTCCAGATATTGCACGACTATGTCGTACGCCCCCCTCTTGGCCTCCCTGGTCCGGTACGTTTCGGGGAGGATATCGTTCCCAGGCATCTTGATAACTTGGAGGAAGTAATGCTGATCTCCAGCTCCATCACTGCTTGGGCCAAGAATGCTCAAGTACATAAATGCTTGGACGCACGACATCAAATAATCTCGAAGCAGCCTGCCGTTGTCTGAGGTAAAGGCCGCACGATCACGCAATGTCTTCAGTTTCTCCCAGCCTCCTCCGCCTCCGTCACCTCCACCATCGCCCCCATCATCTCCCATGAGGTCGCCACCCTCGGGGGCGTCATCTTCCTCCCCAGGCCCGCCTCCAGGGTCCCCCTGATGGTCTCCAGCCCCTGCTCCAGGATCATCCCCAGGGCCGTCGTCGCCGTCATCGCCTTGACCGCCGCCATCGTGATCATGGCCAAGGCCATCTACGCCATGCACAACGTGGCGCATCTCGTACACGCTATTCTGGAATTGCTTTCTGGTGCACCGAACGCCAGGGATGAGCCGTTTGTAATGTTGCCAAGTCGGCGTCGGAGCAAATCCAGGAATGAGGGGCATCACATTGTCGTAATCATCAAAATTCTGTGCCAAACGGTGAGTGGAGGCGGCCCACGCCCACGTGCACGCACGGGAATGATCGAAGATTCTCGATGCTTTGGCGTGAGGGCCTCGGGCAAAACTGACAGAGAAATAAGAGCGGAGTAGGAGTCCCTTGGATGAAAGCGCGTTTCTGGATGGGCTGGCGGGGATACGCAAAGCGACAAGAATTCTGCAACCCCCCTTCCCCTCTCTTCCTTCATGAGTCCTCACCCCCGCGCCCACGTCAAGAACCCCCGCCATCCTCGCCCACGCTCCTCCGTTCTCCCGTGATTTCTCCCTCCCCTGACCTCGTCCTGCTTATAGTATTCTGACGTTTTTTTTGTAGTTGTTTCCAGACCCCAGAGCTCCTTCGTTCGTGCAGTCGTCCAACGGGCACAACTTGATGGAGTCTACCTCCGTCTGCAAAGCCGCTGACACATTAGACCCATCTGGGAGTGTGGCCTGCACGTCTGCGCGGAACCTGGACCCAAGGCCAAGGAGCTCTCTCGATACAGGATCGTGTAACCCGCCACGGCACCCATCATATTGATCGATGGCTCGCTGGGCAACTCCAGGGTCCCCCAACCGCCCCAATAACCATGGAATCGTATTCAAATACTGGATGCGCTCCGATGCTAGGAAATGGGCATGCCGAACCGACCCCACAATTTGTTGGAGAAACGCCAAGTCGCCACCAGGAAACCTTCGGACATTCCACGCGTTTGCCTCTCGGAGCCCACTCCGTAAGACACTCGTGGCATGCTGATGTGCAACGCCAAGCAAGCGACCTCGCATGCTGCAACCAGGCTCTCCTGGGGCGTGCTGAAGCAACGCTCAAAACGCACAACAAGACGGTAGGCAACTCCCTTGCTTTAGGGGCCCAACGCGGGCCCACGGCGGACGATTATCCCGGATGCCACCAGTAAATTAGTTCACTTTCCGAACCCGCAGTTACGATCCAGAGAATCGAAGTTGGAACATAGATTGAGAACCGAGGACCGAGGCTCGAGGATCGAGGACCGAGGCTCGAGGCTCGAGGCTCGCAGGTCGAGGATCGGGGATTGAGGCTCGAGGGTCGAGGCTCGAGGTTCGACGATCGAGGATCGAGGGTCGAGGCCCGAGGCTCGAGGTTCGAGACTCCAGGTTCGAGGCTCGATGATCGAGGATCGATGCCCCAGGATCGAGGATCGATGCACGATGCTCATCCACCTCCACCCCTCCTCCACCCCCCCTCCTCCACCCCCCTCTCCTATATTCATCAGAGGTAGTACCTTCCCCTCCTCCTCCTTCGGCTTTTCTCAATCCACCTATTGGCGGCTCTTGCTGCTCACTGGTTGCCTGTGTTTTCCTGGATGGGCTGGTGGAGACCCGCGAAGCGGTGACATATATATATATATATGCATGACGCTTGTTTTTTTTAAGGGGCGTCCTCGAGGATGACACAAGCACGTGCCAGCGTAGTTCTGTAAAGGCGTCAGCCATGCAGCAAGCCATGCTACAAATGCCAATTCTCTCTTGGACCAAGCCGGCGATGCCAATGCTGCCAACACTGTGCTGAATAGCGTTTGATCCTTCATCCCCCTGAACAATTCAGGATCGAAATAGTTGATGAGCGTGTGCACTATGCCACTGACTGGTTTGACGCACTCGTGTAAAGTAGACCAGCGCCACTTCGCAAAAGATGGGAAGTGGAAAACTTCGAGCACCTCC